CAGCTGAAGTCAAACTTCAGTAAGACTTGTTCTCCAAAGACATGAGTCCATGGACAATTCTGGGATATTGCCTTAACTGAGCCTTGTATCCCAGAAAGCCATTATCCGAAACATTGCCTTCAGTTGGCCCTGTGTTTCGGATATCCATTTTTTAAAGAACTCTAGTCTTTCAGCTGAAGTCAAGCTTCAATAAGATTTGTTCTCCAAAGGCATGAGTCCATGGACAATTCTGGGATATTGCCTTAACTGAGACTTGTATCCCAGAAAGCCATTATCCGAAACATTGCCTTCAGTTGGCCCTGTGTTTCGAATACCCATTTTGAAGAAATAAAGAAATTGTTTATTCAGCTGAAGCCATACTTCAATTTCTGGGGGGGCAAGAAGCACTACCAGTGCAAGTTTATGTTCAGCAGAATTGAAGAAACAGTAAAGCATTCAAAAACAAAGCAGCTGAAGAAAAGAACATCAAATTAATAGTTTATGCTCAGAAATTGAGCTACAAGTTCAAATAAACTGTATCGACAGCCGCCCACAAGCGGAAAATAACAACTGCCGAAATACGTACAGAAGAAAAAAAATAAACTGTTTTGTACGACAAGGCAAGCTGAAGCAAAAAACAAACAAGGCAAAAAAATTCAGAAAGCGGCAAGTCTAAAGTTAAGCGCATGATGAACCGCAAGATTCTGAAGACGACTGCCCGAGTTCCTATGCTTCAGCCCGAGGATCAGACTGATCAGCGTTGTTGAGCCCCATGGTGGCCTCAGCCCCAGCAGCAGAAGAAGCAGGCTTTGCACTCTGCCGAGCCTCCCTTTCCCTCTGTTCAGCCTCCAACTCCATTCTCTCAGCTTCCTCTTCGGCTTCCTCAGCCTTAAGAATTTCAGCTTCGACTGGAGTTGCATACTTCATATGAGGGTCTTCGGGATTCTGGTCCCATTCAGCACATTTGGACCAGTCCAGCTTCGGCTCAGCATGAAGGCAGACTCTTCGGCACACTCTGAACCCGTTTCTGAAACCCATTTCATATTCTTCCTGGGTATAGACACGGACTTTGAGTAGAGCCTCAGCATCAGCCAACTTCTTCTGGGTCTCCTCCAAGTCTTCCTTGGATTTCTTCAGCTCATCGGCGAGCTTGGAGGAGGAACCTTTCAGCTTATTCAGCTCCTGCTGAACTTGGGAAGCCTCTGTCTGAGCCTGGGCCACTTCTTCCTTTTTGGCCGTCAGCTGATCCTTAGCTTCTTGGAGCTTAGCTCTCTGAGCTTCAGCAGCAGCAACAGCTTCTGAGAGTTGGACATCCCTGGCTTGGAGCATCTCTTCAAGCAGCAGCTCCTTCCTGGATTCGACTCTCAATGGTAGCCTTGAATTTGGAGATGTCCACTCCCATGTGCTCTTGGAGGAACTTTTCTCCTTCCATCAGTGGGGGAAAAACTTCCTTCTCCATAGCGTCGCAGAAGGTTTTGAAGGATTCAGCAGCTTTTTTCTCGTATTCCTCACCCTTCAGCTGCTTCTCTTCAGCTGTTGCTTGCTTCAGCTTAGCAAGCTTTAACTCCTCTTCGGCTACCTTTTTGCCGTGCTCGGCAGCGTCTACCCTATCTTGTAGGGTATCTATCAGCTCTACAGTGAGAGTCTTATTGTGCACGAACTGAAAACAGGAGCATAAGTTAAAATAAAAAAAATGAAAATAGAGCTGAATTTTAGAGGAAATAAAGGCAAGGGAAATCACCTGCATCATCAGCAGTTGGTTAGACCTGGCTGGGTCAGGAACTGATCTGCTGGATTCGCCCATCCCAACAGTGGCCTTCAGCGACCAGATTCTTGCGCTATCTACTTCGGACGTGCCAGCAAAATCGCCGAAGTAGGCTGCAGCACCTTCTCGGTTCTGACCCCATATGAGGTCCCAGATATGATCTGGGATTGGAATTCGGGGGGCTGAGAAACCCATTTCTCTAGATTGCAGAGTCTGGAAAGAAGGAAAGGATGATGACGGAGCTTCTTTAACTTTGGATGGCTCATTATCCTCCTTCTCAGAAGAGTCAATTATTATGACCTCTTCTTCTTCAGGGGTGAGGACGAAAGCCTCAACCTCTCTTGCAATGTCTGCCGTGAAACCCTCAGCACTGGGCATCACGGCATCCTCATTCTTGTGCTCAGCAGCACTCTCCTGAACTTCTTCTTGGACCCCTCCCTTAGATTCGGGAGTTTTCTGATCCACCTCCATCTCAGGAGGTGGCGGAGGGGTCTTTGGAGGTGATTGAGGTGGTGGCCGGGGAACCCTCGGCGATCCATTGCCTTCCTCGGGTTCCCTTATTTCAACGCCGATGGTCATCGGCCTCCGCTGAAAGTCATGCGGGCCGATGATGGCCATTCTTCGGCGCCTTTTCTGAAGCGGCTGCTCGTCCATGTCTGAGTCTGAAGACTCTTCTTGTATCTGGTCTTCGGGACGAACAGGGGCTTTCCCTTCTCTGTGTCTGTTACTCTCTTCAGACTGTAAAAGACAAGGGGGAGGAAGAATGTGAGTACAAAAAAAAAAAAAAAAAAAAAAAGACAAAGTTAAGTCTGAAAGCTCACCGAGGTCTTCAGCAAAGCCTCGTCTTCTTCAGTTGCCCTAGCTGCAGCTTCTTCTTCAGCAGCCCTGGAGGACCCTTCTCCTCCTTCACAAGCTTCAATAACCCGTGCAACCTCTTCGGCCGTACGGGCAGCTTCAGCTTCTTCGTCCAGCAGCTGAAACCAGGGATCTCTCTTCTTCCACCAAGGCTTCTGCCTCTGATACAGAGCAACAACCTCAATTTGGAAGTGGGAAGAGTCTAGATAAACTTCCCTATGCCTCGGTTCAGTGATAAAGGGGGCCCGATCAGTTACAACTCGCTCTCGGTTGACGCCAAGACGAGCGTAGTTAATGCCGACGTTGGTCTCGTCCCGCTCTGAAAAAAGAAAAGGGGAAAGGTCAGTTCAGTTAGGTTGGCACAGCATAAAAAAGCGAAGTGAGAGGAGAAAAAGAGATAATTAAAAAGCCTCGGCCCCAGCCGAAGAAGCTTACCATCCTTAAACTTTCGGCTGAGGCCGACAGCTGCTAGCATGTTCTCTTGGAAAACATAATGCGTATCGGGGAGCCAAGTCTCCGGGATATGCTGCATTCGGCCGCTGCCCCCCCGGTTCGGCAGCTTGCCGAAGATATTCTGCTGATTAAGGTTTGGATCTGGGCCGTTATCTGCGGGGGGACCTAAGCTTCCCATGTCGGGATCAGGCTCAGCAAGGTACCGGGGAGCGCTGAAGACGCAAGGGTGGCCCGGGTCCGTGGGTGCCCTAACCCAAATCCATTGACCTCTCCAGTCCTTGTCTGAAGAGTCGTTCGGCCACATGGTTAGGTACTAGGGCCGAGACTCAATCCGGTACCACCCAGAACCATGACTTCCGTGCCCACTTTGAATATTTGGCACTAGCCGATGAAGCTTTTTGAAGCAGTGCAGGTTCGGCACATACTTGAAGAACTTGCAGACCCATAAGTATGTCATCACCCTTCGGATGCTAGTAGGAGTTAGCTGACATAGGGAAATATTGTAATGGATCAGCAAGTCTCGGACGAATACGTCCAAAGGGAACCTCAGCCCATACTGAAGTTGTCTTGTGTACACCCCCACATACCCCGGGGGTGGACGATGGATTCTATCGGATGCCACGGGCATTCGGCACCAGTACCCATCAGCTTCAAGGATGCCGTAATGCAACTCAATTTGTTCGGCAAACCGATACTGTTCGGCATTCTCCACCCACCATGAGTAGGGGCGGTTCTTTATCATGGCCGAAGCTACTTCGACATCCTCTCACTCTGAAAACCCGGGGAGGATATCCCAAAGGACAGCGGGAACTTCATCGTCCCGCCCAGAAGCGTTCGGCCCCTCCGTTCTCTGAGGAGGAGCCGAGGAAATTGGAGTCGCCCTAATCCCTTCAGCAGGGTCAGACTCTGCTCTTTGTCCATTCCAAGTCCCAATCCTGTTCCTAGGATCGGGAATTGGCCTTGCTCTTCTTGGAGCACGGGCTCTACCCCTAACTCCTCTCGCCATTGATAATCTCGAAGAAAAAAGTCGAAAAAAAGAAAGGGAAGGAGTTCGAATTCGAAGAAAAATAAACTAAAATCAAAGGAATTTACCTTAATCTGAAGCGAAAGTTGCCGATTTACGAGTTCGTAGTGGCAAGTCTCAGTTTCTAAGCTTAATGCTCGGGGAATTTGCGAAGTTTTGATGCGGGTTCTTGGGTTCTCTCGAGAATTCTGGGTTTGTGTTGGTGAATAAGTGAGGAGAGATGACGCGCCTCTGATTATATCTCCAGAAATGGGAATACGGGGAGTCCGCGTTTCAATTTCTCTTAAATACCCCACTAAGTAACCGTTAAACACACGACCTTGCGATTAAACTGCCCATTATCCGTCCAACTTCCACAATCATCCGCCTTAACCGTTGTTATCTCATTAATTACGGTTTAAATTCAAATTTTTGGATTAATTAAATCATTCACTTCCCTCCTTTTCTGATTAAATCAAACCCGACCCGTCATCCTTCCAAATCGAGTCTGGGGGGCAAGTTGTTTGGGTCCAATTTAGTCCAATTGGGCTTAGGCATTAAATGATCCAATTAAAAGCCCAAGGTCAAGGTTCATCTCTCCAATTGTGCTAAAGTCAAAGATCAGTCCTCAAGGCAAGCCAATTGGGCTAAGGCCCAACTTCTCCATGTATGAAGAGGTATAAAAGCCATCAATATTACATTTTTACATTCATTCAAGCAAAGCCTCAAGCAACTAATTCTCTTGCATAGTCTTCTCTTTCAACACACTGTACTGACTTTAGCATCGGAGGGGCCTTCCTCGGCAACACCCCCGAGGCTAGTTTACGTGTGTTTACTGTGCAGGAAACCTTCGGCCCAACATTTATCGGATCGAATCTAGTCTTCACCACTTCATCGGACCTTCGGCAAGGTCCCATTGTTTTCACCCGAAACACTCAGTCACTTATGGTGTCTACAATTATGCCACCAACCATTAACCCAACTCCCTCAATCATCACACCCCATCCTCCAAGTGTTCTAAAACCTTTTGGCACTGGAAGAGATGGTGATCCAAAAGTTGATGGCACACCTGGAAAAGATGGTGCACCAGGACAACGTGGTACACCGGGAACTCGTGGCACTTTCGGAAAACGTGGTACTCCAGGAACTTGTGGCGGCACACCAGGTACTCCTGGGACACCTGGAACTCCAGGAACACCGGGAACTCCAGGTACACCACGACCTCATGTCACACAACGAAGAACTCATGTTACTCCACACCCTCCTATTGTACCAAGATATCGTAGAGCTCATGGAACACCGGGAAAAGATGGTGCTCCAGGAGTAGATGGTACACCAGGAAAAGATGGTGCACCAGGCCAACGTGGCACACCTGGAACTCGCGGGACTTTTGGAAAACGTGGTACACCTGGAATGTCTGGTGGCACACCAGGAACTCCTGGGACACCCGGCACTTTCGGCACACCAGGAACTCCTGGTACTCCAAGATCTAGTAGCATACCACAAAATGTTTCCACTCTTAGCAGACCACGAACTATAAGTATTGCAGGAGGACCTGGCACACCAGGAACTCCAGGATTTGAGGGCACACCGGGTGTCCCTGGTGCACCTGGACGCGGTGGTAGACCAGGAACTCCTGGAACACCAGCAACTCCTAGCACTCCTGGCAAACCGGGAACTCCCGGTACTCGAGAATCTCCTGGCACACCAGGAGCTCCTGGTACACCGGGTAGTCCTGGCACACCAGGATCACCGGGAACCCTTGCTAGAGGTAGCGGTAAACATGATAATCATAGAGGAACAAAATATACTTCTCCATAAATAATATAAGTGGAGAAGGTGAAGAAGTAACACAGGTACTCAATCCACTAATCTAAGTGGTTATGGCGGTGGTATGGTGGTACGGTGGTGATGTCTCATGTATACTCCTTGGGCTATCCTTTCATGTGCTGGCTAGGAGGTTTGGCTGCATGTTGGGTTGGGAGACTCATTGTATATTGTGTGATGTCCTAGTTTAAGGTAGATTTATTTCTGTCATAGAGATTGCAGATTAATAAGGCTCAGCTCCTCAAGCTAGCTAGCTTGCATCGTCCGTGGCTCTTTGCAATGCTTACCTTTTCCTATAAGATATTGTATATTTCATATATCGAGTTTTTTGTTTTTGTCAATGTTACTTAGATTTTTGTTTGCTGCGAGCAACTTAGGTCCTGTTCACTTCACCTTCAAAAAAAAAATATATATTAAGTAAAAATAATTTCAGTTCAGTAAAATCAATTTTAATCAATAAAAATAATTTCAGTTCAGTAAAAATAATTTCAGTTCAACAAAAATAATTTCAGTTCAGTAAAAATAATTTAAGCTAATAATTTCAGCAAAATTAATTTAAGTTCATGTACTTTGATGCTTTTTTTTACTAGGTTTTTCTTATGTAAATTATTTTTTCCATATTTTGCAAAATATTGTCGTACAAGATTTTTTTTAATACTTCACATATATTTTCTTATGCATCACTTTTGTCTACACTTTTATCACATATATATTGTATAGTTATAAAATATAATATCTTTTTGTTTTTGTCAAGTATAAAATATTATGTCTTATTGATAATATTGTAGTCAGTGATATTTGGTAAATACAAGTACTATATTTATAAAAGGGTAACAAAATTCATCGTAATAGCATACCTAATCATTTACAATAAATTCAATAAGATATTGAAATATGATATTCATATATGATTATATATACATGATCTATACAATACTACCAATATGTCATTATATTATTTTTGCTTAAATATCACATGCCTTGATATGATCAATCAATCTACCAATATTTGCTATAATTATTTGTAAATTCCATGCAGTTAACCAATGTATACGTAGTAAAAAATTGACTGACAATTCAAACCAAAAAATTTAATTAACAAGATTTTTTTCATGCATGTCATAAATTGTGCTAAAGTCTTTGGGTTTGAGATCGTTAACTCCAACTCGCTGCTTTCGAAACTATTTTAACGATCAACTATATATTTTAATAGTCTCATATATATATATCATAGTAGTGTCAGTGTGTTTGACTTTTATTTAATAAATTGTAGAATGTTTAATTTTATGTTCAACAAATGTAATTAATTATTTGCATCAAAAAAAATTGTAATTAATTATTAAACAAAAATATAAATTTTTGTTTAAAAAGGATTGTTTAAGATATTCATTTTATTTTGAAAGTAAATTCCTAAATTGAGTACATATATATGGTTAGCATATTGTGTGTAAGATTTCACAATATTGTACAATTTTTTTTTTGGAAAAATAAAGATCATAAATTATATGTCAAAGTATCTTTATAGTACTCTATAGTGCCTATAAAAACCTCTTTTTCATAGCTCTAGTTCATCCAAGTCGAGCTTGTAACTTTCAAATCTTCATGGGTTCGAGAACCAAATTCACCAATGACACTACTAGAAAATTTTTGGAGATTCTTCTCCAACACAAATTAGATGGAAACTCAAAGTTAGATTGGAAAAAATTTGTGCGTAATTTGAATGCGCAAACTGGACAAAATTTAACCTCTGCAAAATCATTTTGCAGATTTGAAACGAAAATATATAGCTTGGTATGAATTGAAGATGGGTGCTGGTTGGACGGGTCTTGCTTTTGATGTAGTGACTGGCTGCCCTCTCATCAAACAAGATCATAGGTGGGCTGCATTTGTTAAGGTAAACTTTGTTTTTTGTCTTCTATTATTCAAATTATGTTAATGATGTATGGTAGTAATTTTAGTTACTGTAATTATTTTGTTACACAGAAACATAAAGGAAGACCCATAGAATTCTTGAAGAGGCCATTAGCTAATGAAGATCTGCTGCATGCTTATTTCAAGGGCACTTTTGCAACCATTAAATTGGCTATCTCCCCATCAATGGCAAAAAATGCATCACTATTTTCTGATTATGAAGATCAAGAACCCACAGGAGACAATGATGATGAACAAGATGATCCTTTAAACTTAACCCCTGAGGATAATGTAGATCATGAGAATGATTCTTCTAGAATATCACCTCCTCTAGGAAAGCGTAAGAGTTTGGGGAAACTAGTAAACTTAATAAAAAGAGAATGAGTGACATTGATAAGTGTATAGAGGTTGTGAAGTCAACTATTCAGGTTGAGTCATCAAAGGTACAAAGTAATCCAGTACAAGAAAAGTTCAATCTTCTTGCTGCAACTCCTAAAGAGATTCCTCAAATGAAAGATTACACTGATGCTTTTTATATCCATGTTTTGGAGTACTTAACTAAAGATCACAATGGGAAATTTTTCATGGCACTTGCTACTAATCATCATAAATTTCTTTGGTTGAAGTCAAGGGGTATAGCTTTTCCTGGAGACTATTATACTCCCCAATTAGATGATGAAATTAATGACTTGGACTTGTCATAAGCAGTAAAAACTAATGTGGTGGGGATTATTATGATGAAATAAATGAATGTTTATTTTAATAAAAACTTTGGTCCTTCGTTATAATATGAATAAAATAGGAAAAATTCATGCCAATAATCCGACCTTTAGCCCATTCTTTTTTAATAATCCAACCTTTCGATTATTATTTAATAATCCGACCTTTAGGGGTCTTTAATTTGTATTGGTCCCAACCGGTCATGTAACCTGTTATAACAGGTTACATGACATGTGGCGGCATGCGATTGGTCAAAAAAAAATTAAAAAAAAAAATCAAAAAAAACAAAAAAACAAAAAAAAAACCTAGCCACCCTACCCCCCACCCACTGCCAGTCCTCCCTCCCCGGTGGCCGGCGAATCCTCCCTCCCTGGCGGCCGACGAACCCAACCTCTCCCTTATCCCCCACCCACGACACCACCCCTCCCACCTTGCCGGAAACAATCCCCTCCCCATCCCCACCCAAAACGCCACCCAAAACCCAGACCCCATCACAACCATCAAAACCGTTCAACCATCAAAACCATCTTCGATCTTCCCATTCAACCATCAAAACCTTTCATCACCATCAATCGACATCATCAACAACTAGCATCACAAAATCGGTGGTGGGGGGAGGGGCGACGAGTTTTCTCGAGGTGGGAGTTCGATAAAGGAGGGAATTGATGAAGGAGTGCGGTAGGAAGGTGGGTCGCGTCACCAGCGTGGGGGAGGGGGGAAATCGGCGCGCAGGGGGGAGGGGGCTAACCGGCACAGGCGGTTTTCGTGGTGGTGGTTGACGATGGGAGTAGGCTGAGGTAGTTTTCGTGGTTGACTTGGATGGGGGCAACGATTTATGTGGCTTAATTGGTGGTGGGGTTGCTGCTAAGGGAGGGGAAAAGGGAGTAGGTGGATGATTGGTGGTGGGGGTGGTGGTTTGGGTAATGGTGGTGGGCTGCCAGGGGAGTGGCTGCTAGGGGATGGTGGTGGCTGAATTATTATTATTTTTTTTTATTATTATTTTTTTTGACCAACTATGTAATGACACGTGTATTTTTTTTTTTTAAAAAAAAAAATTACCTCTTCAACCGGTTTCTGGTCAAATGGGACCAATAAAAATTAAAGAATCCCAAAGGTCGGATTATTAAATAATAATCGAAAGGTCGGATTATTAAAAAACAATGGGCTAAAGGTCGGATTATTGGCATGAATTTTTCCAATAAAATAATCTCATTTTATTTCTTTTGACGTTGTATGTTTATCTTTTTTTTTTCGAAGAAGAAATGTTGTATGCTTATCTATTCAATAGTAAAATATAATTAGAAATGACGAGAAAAAGACATTTTATTTCAATAGGACGACTAGGGAGTACACAAAAATAATTAATAAACGAGTATATGGGCTATAGTAATGAGACTATTGACCTTTTTCACATGCAAAATCAAAAGCCAATCGATCTATAAAAACAAAAACAAAAAATATTAAAAAAAGAAAAAATTGGAAGTTTTACTAAAAACTTAGAAAATAGTTGTTTGATCCTGACCAATTGGATTTTATGCTAGCATATTTGATGTATAAAAGGAAAATAAAATACAGCTAATGTAATGTGATAATTAATTGAATCTTGGCATGAACATATTTTTTGACAGGACTTGAACATCTATTGATCGATATGACAAGTTTAATAAATTCTCATAAATATTGCTAATGATAGAAATTATCATCAACTTTTTAGGGTTTTTTTTATTTTGTTTTTTATAATGAACAATTTATACTTTCATTTTACTAAACAATAGAAACTTTGTTATTATCCACATTAAGGAACAAAATATAACATTCCTAAATACAACATTTATTTACATATATTTAACATATATTTAACTTTTCTCAAAAAAAATTTACATATATCTAATAATATCTTATTGATATAAATTATAGCTTGTTATTTTTGGTAAATACTTTGTTAGTTTTACCATATATGTATTTGAGGAAAATGTTATTTGTTAAAAAAATAAATAAATGAGGAAAACGTTATATACGCAAGTTTTTTTTTTTTTTTTTTTTTGACAAGTTATATATACATTTTTTTTTGGTAAATATATATGATATACGAGATATTGGAAAAGATATGGGCAAATCAATCTCTTTCCTTTGCGTTCTTTGTACTCAATATATATGGTAAAACAAATAATACCCTTGTATTGCATGTAGTTTTGCTTATATATATATACTACTTGGGTGGGACGAATTGGACAATCATAAAAATATACAATACTTTTTGTAATCATCTACATATTGAGGTTATATCTTAATATTTTTTTCATTTTATTTTATATTTTTTGTTTAAATTTGAGATCTCACTTCTTGTTGTTGCTTTTATATTGTAGAATGGACAATGAGTTGCTTCAAAAATGCATATTGTTTTTGGTACTATATGAATTGTTGAGACTCCTTACCCCAATTCATCGCTTACCTTTAAGGATCGGGGGTGAAAGTGGATCAACATATATAACAAGGTTGTTAACAGTTCATCCCGGTTTGTTTAAAGAGCAGCTAAGATTGGATAGGGATATGTTTGTGCGACTAGTCCAATTGATGATAGAAAAAAATTTATTATCGGACAGAAGGTTTGTAAAAGTGGCTAAACAAGTAGGAATTGGTCTATTTATATTGGCAAGAGGGGCATTTCAACGCCAAGCTGCTGACACATTTAAGCACTCAATATCAACAATTAGCAAATTTTTCAGAAGGGTGTTGCAAGCATTGACAAGATTGTCATGTGATTTAATTCGTCCTTATCAAGACTTGGCCGATACACCACCAGAAGTACAAGAAAACTCATTATATTGGCCTTTTTTAAGGTTAGTATGTTATTTAATCTTCATATAAATGCATTTATAAAAGCATAATTTAATAATAAAAAATTTAATTTTCATGTGTTAGGATTGTGTTGGTGTTTTAGATGGAACTCATATTAGTGCAATTGTGTCCGATGGTGATGGTCAACCGTTTCGAGGACGTAAAGGAACTAAAACTTGGAATGTACTAGCCTCATGCTCTTTTAATAGGTTATTCACATTTGTCAATGTTGGATATCAAGGAAGTGCTCATGATATATCGGTGTGGAGGAATTGCTTAACTGATCCTAAATTTGAATTTCCACACCCTCCTCTAAATAGGTAATTCTTTAATATTATTTTCTTTTAGCAGGATAATTTATTCTAATAAAAATTTTATTTTCTTGTCAGGAAAATATTATTTAGTGGATTCAGGTTATCCTAACACACTCGGTTTTTTGAGTCCAATTAAAGACAAGCAGACAAGGTATCATATGCCGGAATTTCATAATGGTCCTCTACCTAGAGGAATGCTGGAACATTACAATTATCGTCATTCTTCATTGCGTACTACAACTGAAAGGTGTTTTGTCAACGTTCGGGGGCAATGGAAAATTTTGAAAAACATGCTACAAATGTCTCAAACATATCAATTATCAATCATCTTATCAACGTTTACTCTTCATAATTTTATCCGATTGTACACTTTAGGGATACCAATTTCAGAAAGATGTGCAAATGTTGAGCCTAGAGCGGAATACTCCATATTTGATGAAGGTAGGAAAGCTCAGATGGATATAGTACAAAATCAAATAGCAGAGCATATTTGGAAATCAGTTAGGAACATCGAGGAAGAAGATCATCATATGGACGTTGAATAATAAACTTAAATAGTCATATGCAATAAGAAGCAATCCTTGTAATAATTTATTATTATAATAAAGTTATGATTTTATTCTTATTATTATTAGTCTTATTAATTTGGTATGTTTGGCAGTAAAGTTAGGCAACGAAAGGCAGTATCCCTAAACCTAATATCATATACAAGTATATCAAATACATATTCCCATAATATATAGGCCAACCATTTTTATATACGATATTATGTAAATTTATATGGTTGGCATATTATATTATCGTTATATATGCCAACAAAAATAGATTATTTTACCTTATATATATATATATTATATATATATTATATTATATTATATATATATTATATTATATTATATATATATATTAAATCAGTAAAAATAAGTTCAGTTCAGTAAAAATAATTTCAGTAAAAATAAATTCAGTAAAAATAAATTCAGTAAAATTCAGTTTTAATCTGTAAAATCCAGTTTTAATCAGTAAAAATAATTTTCGTTCAGTAAAAATAATTTCAGTTCAGTAAAATTAAGGTGAAGTGAACGGGGCCTTATATCGCTTTTTGTGTCAAAGAGCATGCCAAATTAAATAAGATAATGGCCTTTGTTTTAGACCTCATGTGTGAAAAATATAATGTGTCTCTAGCTTTTAATTTATATGCATGATATTGTAATACCATACGAGTACATAACATGTTTATGTGTACTATATATAATTTCGATTTGTCTGTTAGGGGTGTAGAGCGAGGCGAATTTATAGCCTATGAGTATATATTTTCAAGAGACCTTCCAAAACCAAATTCCTCAAATTAAACCACAACAACAACAATAAAAAAAAAAAAATTAAAATTTGCTAGACCTCGTTAATCAAATGCATTTAAAGAAAGAAGGAAAACCTAAAATTACTCACCCTTGAGGCCTTGACGACACTACTTCTTGCAAGGAAGCTATATTAACACAATTACAAAAACAAACC